GGGGGGGGGGGGGGTGCAAGGAAGACAAATATATATGGTGGCATTTAGAGTGAAACGAGCGATCGTGCATCCTCTTGGGTTAAATTCACATTTCCCAGCTACTAGCACGAACAATGGAATCCGCGATAAAGTTGCGGACGGGTCGTGCGGTGTAACCGCAAATTGCAGTTCGCTACGCGCCAATACACTGCGCTTCCATAGCAAAGTGCACGCGAGTGCGTTGCACGGGGCGCATACGTCTTCCGGGTATCGAGGAATCGAATTTTGCAGGGCACCGCGCGCGCTCGGTCGACTTGCCTTGAAATTTAGAAATTTTACGTGTACCCGGTGAGAGTGACTATGGGGTTTGGTACTGTACACGAAAGTGTAGTACTTTACGGTAAAATTAGCGCCTCGGCGTCTTGCGTAAAAAAAAAAACGTGTTTCGTCGACGTTAACGAGCGACAGATCGTATTTACCCTACGAATTCGAGCACCCACGTTAAACTGGACTCGACCATTTATTACTCGTGACGCCTGATCGACCGGACCGATTGGGAAAGTTGTATTGAAAATTCGACTCGATTTATTGAAAGCGCCGGTAAAGTCTACGACTACGAAAAGCGACGTAGGAATTTTTGCTGGTAAATTAGCTCCGCGCGGACTAAAACGTGAATTCGTAATCGCGGGATAAGAGAAGTGGTAACCGCGGAATTTAAGATAACCTAATTTAAACAGCAGTGCTTTAAAGCCGCCTTATCAGCACGTAACAGGGTATAAAGGTTAATCGACTGCTCGGTGAAGCATGTACTATATACGTCCAGTGTGTCGTCCTCAACATCAAAGTAAAATGTCAGCCGAGTAATGAACGCCGTGAAGGAAAAATTGAAATAGTAAAAAAAAAAGGAATCTACCGAGCCAGCTATAGAAAGCGGCGAGCGCAAGAGGATTGCGTAACCGCGAGATCTGAGGAGTTATCGGCATGGTTCCCTGTATAACCTCAAACGCACAGTCGCGAAAAACATAACGAAGCATCGATCAACGACGAACGCGCGTTATCCCTTTTTCTTCTACCCGCGAGATCCTCGTGCAAAAAAACGTGCGCGCGCACACCTCGAGAAACTTACCCGTGGCACTTCGCCTAACCTAAAAGTACGTAAAGTCGTTCTAACAGTAGTAAATAAATGATCAGCCAATTCGGCAAGGCCGATAACGTAAATCGTAAAACGTACGCGTGTCACGTACAAATACCCCTTGTCCCCTTACGATAGCACTTGATTCACAGAACACCGATTACTCTTGGAGAAGAAGAAGAATAGCGTCTCCCGTGTTCGGCGGGGCCGTTCATAATTCCTGCCCGTCACCATCGCTCGTAGCCAAGTGTCATCCTCGCAGTCCCAAGCGGACGGTGGGCGCAGCGCGAAACTCGCGAGTGAGAGGGAGGAAAGGAGGGAAAGAGAGAAAGAGGGAGGGAAAAGGAAAATCAATTGAGAAAAACAAGAGACAAGAAGGAACTGAGAGCACGATAGATTCGTCACGCGAGTAAAATCGGAGCTCGCGAATGTCCGTTTTCGTTCGAGACTCGAATACGTTTGTGGCAACCTTTGTACTGGAAGTAAGCCGAGCCACTGAGGACAACGTGTCTTTCCCTCCCGTTTCCAGAGGGGCCCCCCTTGGTTCTACCGTAACGCAATACGTCACTCTTTACTTCGTATATCCTGACACGCTTTAAACTACTACCGTTTACTTCCCAAGCCAGCTTTATAGCTATCGCGCGATGACGATACAACGTATGTGGTAGGTGACTATGTGGATACATATGTAACGAGCGACGTTTTCCTTTCGAGTTAGCAAACTGCTGGAATCGTGTCGTGCGGACGCTTCGCGACGGCGGGTCGACGACGAGGCTTCGACTGTAACTCGAGAGGATCGCGATTATTCTTACGCGAGTTACTGGCGTATAATGTTTTGTGGAAGATGCTGGGAAAGAATGTTGAAGACCAATTTTTTAAGATTACAACCAAACTGTACATCCTCCCGACGATCGGAGGACTGATGACGGAGACATTATTATTATGACGATGATCTAACCACACCCGATAACACGTGAGGATTTGTTGATCTGTCAGTGCTACGGTGTTTACGTGTCGCGTAGTGCGCTTTTGTAAACAGTTTATGATTCGCGTGTATTTTGCTTCGTTAATGAAAACTGCCTATAGCACGTAAGCGTACGATGAGCGGAATTATTTACTTGTACGATCGGGACTGCCGAATTATTGGTAACTCGCGTGATTCTGTATTGTCGATACAAAAGTTTCTTCGTCCAGCGGAGCCAATGAAAAGATTACGTCGATCTTGTCAGACGTAAAAAAAAAAGCCGATTGAAAACAAGTTCCAAAAAAATATGTATACGCGTAAGAGCGGGTGTCGCGAGGCTCTTGATTAAAACTCGTTGCCAGCAAAACTCGCGAAGGAGTAATAAAGATGCACTTAACCCATTTCTACAGCGGCATAGGAATCCGATAAGAAGATTGCTTCATTAGAGCTGGATGCCTCGCGGTCTCCAGCGAGCAGAATGGCTGCGTCGCGGTGCCGCAGCACGGAAGAACGAGAGGCCGGTAGAAGGGGGGAAAAAAAAAAAAATAAAAAAAAAAATAAATAAAAGAAAAGCCAACAACAGAGAACCCATTGATCATCCCCGAGAATTTAACGTGAGAGAGCATAAAGCTTGCCTGCCTCATTTTCCCTTTTAGCCGAGAAAGAAAAAACCAATGGCCAATACCTAGAGTCCCAACTGGGTGCCGTAGAGACAGCCGCTCGAGACCCGCGTAATTTCTCTACGGGATAATCCCAAGGCATCGACCACCGGAGAACCACGGAGCCGCGTCGATTTCGCAAGCCGAGATTAAAATCAGAGAAGGCCGATCCATTTATCAAGCGTCCGCTCCCTTGGTTTGGCTGAATTAAAATGCTAACGAATTTCGCTCTGCGCGGCTTATACGACTACGGTACACATTGTACTATAAGTGCGCAATGCGATTCTCCGGTCGCGCTCACGGTAAAGGAGCACTTTCATAAAGCGAAGTCTAAATGGGATTGCGGGTACACATGTGGAGCGATGCGTGGATATTGATAAATTGAGAATTGTTGGTGGAACTCTTCAAATTTCCCGCAAAAAAAGACATCTCGCTATTATCGTAGAAATAAGCAGGGGCGACCTACCAGTCACTGATGTACCGCAAGGGCAGGGAATATTTCTAGCGCTTCGCGAGCATCAATCTGTGCACCGGGGAAACGTGAAATTAGGCCAACGAGCCCTAGCCCACGTACAACGCGAGTATCTGCACATTTTTTTTTGTAAAGGAAAAACAAGACGCTTTTCGCGCAACGGCCGTTAACCGTAGTTCAAATATATATTTCGACGAGTCGCGTGAATACCTCAAAAGTAAAATTGAAGTATTTTGAAATCTTTGTTAACATTTCTTTTATTACGATATGTGTACATCATATGTGATATATGTACATATATAGGTATGTGTGTGTGGGTGTGTATGTCTTACGATTATGCCGGTTGATAAATCATTGTATTTCGTTAAGCAATACCGTACGTCGACACGACACTCTTGACACTGTCGCTTTTAATTCTAACAATATATCAGACCCGCGCAGTTGACGACGTGTACCGTGATAAATTTGCGAAAATTTCCTTGAAAGCTGATTCACCTCACCAAGCACTTTCGTATTTTGCTATACAGGCAATCGTATTTTTTAGACCCTCAACGAATTTACCAGGTACCCTTTAAATACACGCTATTCGCGTTCCGATGAATTCGAACGAGTAAAACGAATAAATCGCATTGTTAATGCCCGGCGGTTCTTCCCCCTCCTGTGTTGTGCATAAATTCTATTCGCAGGAATATTCAGTGGCCGATACACGAGTTATGGGTCAGTAAGTGAACGTTAGGTTTCACCCAAGCGTTTGGGTTCTATTAATTACAAATGACCCGTGTAGAAGAGTTTCCCCCCAATCTTAGGATATAATTTTCGCATCTTTGTTTTCAGATAAAATCACTTGAGAAGATCGACGAATTTACGCTATTTTTATATTAACAAACCGTAGTGGCGAATATACGAAGTATGAGAGTGTTGTTTCTCTAGCTGGAGAAAACATGTCCTGACGTCATATGATAAACATTGGCTAAATTACAGGTGAGCACAAACACTTGTCACCCTCAGAGACGAGATAAGGAACCGGTCGGCGTATGAAACTAACGCTGAAACGGACGCAACCGATTGCCTGCTTCGTTTTAGAAAGATTCATTAACCCAATATTCATTAGTGATTGGACCTGAAGCCAGCACCTTGTGGAACAGCACGATGACAATTGCTTCGTGGAGAAATCATGAAATCGATTGTCAGACTTATACCGTTAAGCCGAAGACCAGTTAGGATTGTGTAATTACAATAATCCACGGCACGTGGACTTGATTAACTTTATTGCTGTCACTAATCTATCGCAAATGCGTTCGCTGTTTTAATGCAGTTTCTAGCTACGCTCGCTTTGCGTCGAGGTTCATTACGTCGCTTTAACGAGACTATTTAATTAGCGAGGGAATAACAAGGACGAGACAATCAGAACGACGTGTTTATGGGAATGCAAGCGGTAGTGCGTCGCTTTACCGATAAAGTAATTCGATGACGGTAAAGTAGATTTAAACCGGCGTGTCGGTAATGAAGTATTCTATGATGCAACCTTATCGATCCGGCTCGACCGGTACATACTTTAAGGGACACTGTATAACGAATGCGATTATTAATATTTTTAATTATAACAATGTACGGGACTAACCAAAAAATAATAAATGATGAAACTCACCGCTTTTCGCTTGTCTTCTGAACTCAAAGAACTGTGACTTCGATGCCTAATGAGATCCATTACTTTGCTTACTGGATTCCGACTACTCTCTGAACCCGCTCTAGGCCTTCCACTCTGCTCCTTGCCTTCCTTATGATCTTTGTGGTCTTTATGATCTTTGTGATGATCCTTTTCAGTGTTCACGTCCACCGAAGAGCTTCCATGCGAGCTTCTGTACAGCGAATGCTAAATACAGAAAATAATTGTAAATTATAGTATTTAAATATTCCTACTAATTTCATACATAAGAAAGAAAAGAAATGTGACGATTTAAAATATCTTTACCTGCACCGCGCTCTTCATGTTTGCAATAATACTGGGCTTTCTAGTCTTACTAGCGTCGGATTTACTCCTAGGCCGAAAAGCGTCAAAAAGGGCTGGTTTCCGAGTGGGGCTGGCCGTGTCGTCACCACTTCTCCTACGTTCTGTGCTATTACTACGACTGTTGCTGCGACTAGTTGAACCGGAGTGAGTGCCTGATGTCTTTCTGCCACCCTTGCCAGAGCTGGATGAGCTCGAAGCAGGTTCCAGTTGCTGAGGGAGAGGCGTAGATTTTCCGGAACTGGGAGCACTTCCCGTGGATGGTTTCCTGATGTTCCTCGAGTGCGAGCCCCATGTTCCTGCAAGGACGGAATATTAAGCAGGATCCGCCTTCTACTCGTGCGATAACGACGAAAGAGGCCGCGAAAGAACTTTTTGACATTTTTAGCTGTGAAAAACGCCGATAACGTGTCTGCTCGGTCTATAGATATATTATTATACCAACAAACGAGATGCTAATAGCAAACTTATCTTCGGTTAAACCTGATATGCATTTTCTAGAAAGGAATGATAAAAGGAACACTCACCAGCCCTGGGCCTGTGACCCTGATCTTGCGCACTCTTGTCGACATCCTCGGTTACGATCGTCGGCAACGGCTGTGAACCAAGCTCCTGAAAACAAGACAGCCCACAATTATTTATCGTCGTTCGATCAATCATCGATAATAACAAACAGTAAATAATAAAATAATACCATCTCAAAGCAAAATAAACGCACGCATTTCTGGCTGTTATTATTCCAGAAAAAAAAGAGCACTGCACGCTACCGGGAATCCTCAACACGATTTCTTCCTGAAGGGCAGCCGTCTACAATTCTTTCCTATCTAAGAGAATCCTTCTATTTTGTCAAACTCCTAGAATCATAGTGCTCCAACTCCGGTAATAACAAATATCTACAGTTCATTTTATGTCTTCGACCTAGATTCAAGTTTCCCTAGTTTCCTAAGTTCCCTAGTTTCAACACTCTCCCACGTGATGCCGTAAGAAGAAAAAAATCAATAATACCGTAAAATCCTCGTACCTAGAAAAAAAAATCACCTCAAAATTTCCTCCTTCCAGGTTGAAGGTTAGGACGTAGGACCCAAAGGTACCAAACACCGGAAATACGATCTCCAGGCCAGCACGCTTCCCGTCGAGGGTGCAGATAAAGCGTCACAACCCCAATACTTTAACGGGTACCTGGTAGTCACGTCGTTAACTATTTATCTACCAGCTGAATAATCAACTGCGTGAACCAGAATGTACTCATAATCCGTAAGCAGTCCATACAAGAGTCAAACGAGCGAATGATGGTTTATTGACTGAATTTATTTATTTACCTTGCTGGTTAAACGTGTTCGTAAACGAATCAATTTGCCTGAAGGGACTGGCTGTTTTGACACTTCGGTTACCCACATACATATGTATATATACATATACCTACAACAGCGCGTGATAATGGCATTGGTCCGTATCACTTACCAGTGAGTGGCTTATCATTTAATTAAGGTCAATTATAAGTATTTTATCTGGAGGACCGATGACGTTGATCATCGTCATCGTGTGTTCCAGACGGTTACCCGTCGACTGGCTAATAACAACTAGCAATTATAATTGATATCCAGAGTTTTCGTAGAAGTCTACTCGAGTCGCTTACTTTACTTCGAGAGAGATAAAAAGAAACTCGAAAAAAAAAATACATCAGATAAATAAACACAGTCTCTCTCAAGTCCACTGCCTGACGTTACTCGTTACGGAATCCTAGGGAATTTGAATGAAGCTAACATGTTAGCCTTGGAATGCAGTTCTTCAAGAATTTTCAAGCAGAGGAGATATAATCGTAAAAACGAAGCTTTATTTCTCGCAACTAACCAGTGGCGCCATCTGTGTACTACAAGAGTCACGTGTCCGTCCGCTAGAAATAGAATTGCGTCTACGTTACGTCTCAACGGCTTCGTCGGCTGAGATCATCGAAATTTGCCAAATTCAATTACGGCTCGCTGCGACGAGGGACGTTCGAGTGGATAAAATAATGGCAGAAAAAATAACAGCAAATGACGTTTGTTACCTTTACGACGTTACCACCCAAATGAATAACCGTCTTTCCTTGGTATGAATAAGTCTCGTATCCAATGGTAAACATTTCCTTTTCTCACTGACAATTCACATTGGCTCGATCACGCAAAGATTCATCACGTTCAATTTTTAACCCACGATTTTCATATTATTTTTTCGACGCTTTCGACCCTGCCGTCGAAAGCGAATTAAAACCTTGGCAAATCTGCAAATGTTCCCGTTGCCGTCGACGATACCAAATGAACTCTGGGTATCTCGAGTTGCGGGCAGCCACGGCTGATAAAACAAGATGTTAAATGACACTTGGATTTAGCAAAGTCTGAACTAATGATAAGTTAAATGGTAAATTATCATCGTGGACAGAAAAAAAGTTGTTTATGGCACATCATTCGATTACGATTGCACGTTAACGATAAAGCATATTAAGCATACTACTTTGACAATTATCAGAAAATCACAGGGCCAAGTATATGATTCATCTGCGGGTTCAACCTCGACCCAGTTTTTCAGCATAGCGTAGAAAAAGGAAAACTATACGATATGAAAAAAAAAATTGATAAACTATAGTAAAATCTCTAATATACTAGACTGCGATATTAAGCAACTCGCAACAGTCCAGGTACCGTCGGTAACATGGAATCATTTAAATTGATTTGCTCCATTAAACATGATTGACCACTACAAAGCAACTGCCATTCGCGTGAATGAATCGTAATTATCATGCCAATAAGCTAATGAACATTGTACATTGTACTTCATAGTCAATGTAAAAGAAAATATAATCGTTTTTTTTTTTTCCGTACAAACAAATTTTCTTTCATTTTCAATGTTACAGGATTTCAAATATGCCGCCTTTTTTTTTTACGTACTGTACGATCGATGAATCCAGATCAATGTTTATGCAATCAACCGAAACCTCGATCGTGTTAACCCACGTGCATGTAAACGCGTATGTAAAGAAGTACATAGGCAAAACATAATTTGTCAGTATATAAACATCAATATTAAATAGGTAATAGAAACTGGCACAGAACTACAGGGACGAGTACCCTGTTACGTGGATACTCGTTACGAACATAATCCGACATCAGAGATCATGAAGCTCTCAATTAGAATTAATTAAACCAGCCCTTCGCTCGGCAACGATCGACTAACAAATTAAAATACCCGAGCAGGCCTCGTTAGAAAGAAAAAAAATAATTCCAGAAGCTGCATTAGTATTTCCAAGAAATACAAAGAAAAAGTCCCTAGTCATCCAAACAGATACAGTTAATTTGCCTAGTATTCACAGAGATTACAAGGAAAAGTCTGTGATTAACTGCGTTAACAGTGATAATTAAAAATATACATTTTTTTTTTTTGTAGAAACAAATAAAGAAAATCCCCATGGAACGACAATCATAATTCTCTGTTCTCGAATAACGATTCTTAATCCTGCATCGTTTCTACATAAATTAATAACAACTCCCAATTAAAATGCCAATATATAACAAAGAGAGAGATCGAGATATTTTAATTAAAATGATTAGATTAGAAATTCGTGTGATAATCTTACGGTAATAAGCTTTCTCGATTATCATAACACGTCTTCCTAAAAATATGGCGCACTAGAACCTGGTCCAAAAAAGGCCTTGCTCATTCCATATTGAGTGTCGTGTACGGATAAAGTGAGTTTCATAGATACTGATTAATGACGCATGATTATCTATAGTTAACCCATAAAAAATTGTAAATGAAATATCCTGTATATAACAATGGTATAAGGACACTCCGTGTCCGATAATATTGACTAAATCCGTGTAACGATGTTTGACGATAACATTAAACGGTTGGTTAACGCGAAAAATGTACCCATCAAATTTTCGTATAATTTTCTTCGTCACAACGCACTACTATGTTACACATGCCGATGATCCCTGCTTGTCCTGTTCGATGTAGCGGATAATAACTTAATTTACAGAAAACACTTTGAACGCGAAGAATTGATCAATATATTTTTTAACGGAGGAAATGCAAGGTTTAATGACTGTGATTAAATCGACGCTACGAGGACACAGACTGCCGTTCGTTTTGACGTGCACGAGAGACTCCGTCGTTGCAATGACTGGGCATCGTCGCAGAACGCGATCTACGGTAGCGCTATGGAACTGGTGTTGTGGGTAAGAGATACCGCGTGTTCCAATAATACGTATCGGTGAACCTATTTTGTAGACGTTGCAGTAAACTGCATCGTCTGAACTCAATAGACTGACGGATAATACTGATCGAGCGCTTTAGGGGCTCTCAGGTGAAAGCAATACCGAATGACAGACTGAATGGAAGACTGTGAACTCCTTTTTAGGAATACTATAGTTTGTAAAGAGAACATATTCCGAGAAGAATTTTAGTCTTGTTTGATCAGTATAAAAAAAAATTTAATTGAACTTAAAAAAAATTCGCTGGGAATGAAATACAGAGATTCGATACTGGTGCATGAAAAATCGCTTAAGAGGATTTGGATTTGGAAATATTATTTTCCAAGTATCAGCTGTGATGGCGAAACCAGAGCTGCACGAGGGAGAAATAACAGTGTGTCGAAAACAGGTATTACTGTGGGGATTTATCCCGGGTGAGTGCGTGTAAAATGGATCGTATGAGAAGGAACTAGATAATGGTGGGTAACAGCAATATCTTTTAATCTATGGTAGGGCCTCAATAACTGGCATTTACATCAGACGCCACTTTCTTGTCGCAACTGGTGGCAGCGTCGAGAACTAATATTTCCATGTTTTTTAGAGTATCAAATCCTGCGACGAAATGTGACCTAGTTACGAAATCAGCATAGAACGGAAGAGAAAAAAGAATAAAGTCAAAACAACAGCCAACGCTATAAATAGGGGGAAAGCACGTAAAAGCAAATAGGGAAAAAGTAATAAAAAAATACCGCAATTTTTTCGTTCCACATTCACCAAACTTTTGAAATTATTTCTTTCATTCCGTTGATCCTTATCTTTTTCATATACATAAGTATTTCCTCTTTCGTTTAGTCTTGTTAAAAGCACAACAAATCGCCACCACGAAAAATAAGCGTTTCCGTATATAAAAGAAAACTCAAAGCAAATAACTTATTCATGCCTGACGCGAGACACTGTTTCTAGACGGCTTGAGAGTTCGTATAAATTAAATGTCTCTAGAGCTTTCATACATGTATGTATAAGTAAAGATATTGGAATTTCCAAAGAACAAACACGTAGCTCGAGGAATATTTAAACATACTATGATACACGACACGACTTTATCTACACGTAGACACGATACGCGAGAAAGAACTTTACGTACCTTTCGTTGCCGATCATAAACTAAATCGTCTAAGGCCGACTCAGCACCTTCCTGAAGTGTTTTCAGTAAATAAGAAGCCTTGACTATCATTCTATTGTATCAAGCCAATGGAACTTTTTCCAAGACCGAATAAGATGAAAATTATAATCGAAATTACCAGGCAACGCGATATCCGTCACAAGAGTCCTACGAATTTGAGTTCACAGAACCGTTTTCCGTCATGTTGATTAACGTCTTGT